TATATTACAGTAATATACAGTTCTGTAAAGTTCTGGGGTTTTATATACAAAAAAGCCTTAGAAGTTATCCATAACCATTGGATGGTTGTTTCAACAGCTATGCTGTATTATTTAGGTCAATGCTTCTATTATTAAAAGTAAGATTTTATTGCGTTCAATAAACTTACTCTTGATCCTCTATGTTTTTCTGTCTACACATGAATGTTGACAGTTAATATCCTTGTGTGCAACGGTGAATGGTTTAATAACATTTTACAGATATTTTCTAATGGCTGTGAAGCACGTCGGCCTCACGGTGCAGAGGTGCAGGGTTCGAATCCGGTTCCGGCCTTCCTGTGTGGAGTCTCCGGCTACTCCGCATCCTCCCACATTCTAAAGACATGCGTGGCAGGTTAATGGAACACTCCAAATTGTCCGTGATTGTGAGGGCAGATGGTTGTTCGTCTGTGTGCACTGCGATTGGCTGGCAACCGGTTCAGGGTGTCCCCCGCCTACTGCCCAACGACTGCTGGGATAGGCTGCACAGCATACCTCGTGACCCTTGTGAGGATAAAGCGGATCAGAAAAAGTATGGACATGTTTTCTATCAATATTAACAATAAGACATCCATCCACTTTTGATCCACTTATCCTCACAAAAGTCACGGGGCATGCTGGAGCCATGGCACTGTTGTTTAAAATAAAGGGGTTTCAGAAAGGGCAAGTCTGTGCACTTCCAGCCCACTGCTGAAAAGAGTGCAATCTAGAGGAGTCAAAAAACAACAACTGGTTTATGGAGCAAATTTGAAGCTTCATTTTCTCATCACTATCAGTTCTAAAAATTGCATCAGTACACATGTCAAATAGACTTCAGTACTTCCTCTCTCAATTTAACATACAAGTCACTTGCATCCAAAGGATCTGATGGCGCGTGCCATTCATTTTCCTCCATAAGCAAGCAACACAGTTCAAATACAGTTTCATCACAAGGAAAATTGCCTTTTGCAGTGCACTCTTCCATATATGCAGTGACCTCTTCCGTTCCAACAGGTTTTAATTGATCCTCTGCACTGTGCATCTCAGGGAATGAACACATGACGACTGATCGACCTGAAGCTGTATCACGGTGCAATCTTGGTCTTATTTTGTGTGCGTTCCACGTGTTCACAACTTCATCCAGCTCATCCTGAACAAAAAGCAGCATAGTTAAGTATTATATTTTCACCATTCGTCCAAAAAGAATTTATGTCCAGAAAATTATTCTACTTGCACAAGATTAAGAAAGCAGAACCAGATAAGACTTTTATCCAGAAATCTCCTGAAAAGTGGCCATCATCCTGAAGAGTTTGAAATAAATTAATCCAAAACTGTGCGCTCTGTTTGCTAAGGGTTGACCACCACCCTTCAATACGCTGATTGCCTGTAATTCTTCCATAAAGGAAACTTTTCTCCGCAGGAAAATTGTCTGAGTGGTTTCTACGCACAAACATCTGCGTCTGTTCAACACAAACATTTTCTGTGCCCGTCTGCATGGATCCTCTCTGGACACCCACTGATGCGTGAAACTTGCAACCACCTTAGGGTCACTGTTTGTGGTATAGGCTTCCGCCCATAACACAATCATCAATAAGCCATCAATACAGCCATTGATGCCAATCCCAGAGGGCTTTAATTTGTCATAGCCATCCAGGTGCCAAAGAGCATTTGGCCCCCGACAGTTGTATTGGTCAACCAATTTTATAATTTGTCTTATTGTATCTTGTGACACAACAAATCCTTTTTGAATGGCACGCAGATGAAGCCAGCGATAACCTTGCATCTGTCCACTAGTCAGGATCTCATGCTGGACAAAAGCCAACACGTCTCCCAGGTCTGACTGGTTCTTTCTTTGAAAAAGACCAAGTCTTTTGCATATCCTTTTCAGAGTCCGAATACTTAATAGTTTGAGCATTATGTGCTAAAATTGCAAGTATTTCCTTATTGCTGAATCCAAGTCTAAAGCATAGCTTGATCAAGTCATCCAAATCTGGATTTCCAGACACTGTTTGAGTTGCACCCTCCATCAGTCACTTTATCTACAGGAGAAAAGAGACAACAATTACAATCTGACAAAAAACAACGGTGGACATTTTGAAAACATGACTGTATGACCGTATGCTTGTTGAAAGTAAGTTTTTAATAATGTTCTCACTCATGGTACTGTGTTAGTTCAAACTCAAGTATACAGTACTCATATTCAGTAAGTAGTCTAAAAGTAAATAGAGGTGCATGTGCACATACTTGCTACGACACGACCGCGTGATCAGTGTGTTCAGTTCACGGTAATTAGGCTGCAACGATGCTCCAGCCGGCCACTGTCATCCACACAAAGATGTTCGATGTCGAGAGTGGTGTTGTTTTTAAACAACGTTATGTGGCGTCACAGGGACGTACCCGTTTAAATTGGTTACTTTCTATCTACAGTATTCACGAATGTAAATTGGGTGCATCCATTCATGACATTCGGACTAGCAACGGAGCTACAAGCTCCATGGAGCACGTTAACTCCAAATGAAACAAACACGACTCACTGTTTACTCACCCTCTGCTCCTCCAAAAGTGAAACGATGTCCTCCGACACTCCTCGGCCACGCAAAAAGTCGCTAGGTGACGACATGTCGTCCTTTCTTCCAAGCCACACCACACACTGACGGTCCCCCACAAATCATCGCTCCTCGAACGTCACAAAGTCAGAATTCTGATTTTAAAATCAGAATTCTTAGATTAAAGTCAGAAGTCTGAGATTAAAGTCAGAATTCTTGCCAACCTTTTTTTTTCTTCATTGGCCCTAATCCTCTTCCGTAGATATGTGATACGTCACCAGTTGACCAGGAAGTTCTGTGGAGTTGTCCGTCAAGCGAAACAACTAAAGGCGGTTATTGTTCTTCGCCAAGAAACCAAATAGGCCTGCGTTTTGAAATGGACGGTAGGTTGTTGAACAGTTCGTCGCTTTAAATTTCCCAGCAACTGTTTTTGTGACACACTGGTTTGACTTGTTTTGACTTGTAAGCTTGGACAGACGCTTAGCAAAGATGTTGTGTTTTCATGGTGCAAATGCTGCTTATAGTTATATTTTGGACTGGCTCCCTTGGTTTTCTGTCTATTCTTTTATTTGTATTAATAATCTGCAGGCAAAGTTGTCAAGTAATGAAATAACAATAGGCGCCAGGATAGATAGTGACTGTCTCCGAATGTGCACACTATTCCTAAATCAGTGGTTCCCAAGCTCCCGTTTTTTGTGTCACGAACTAGTTGAGGCAAGTACTTACTGTTCGCGGACCGGCAACCGTTTTTTTTTTTAAATTGCCTTTAAATTGCCAGTTTTAAAGCACTAGTACTGACAACAAATATTGTAACGGAGTTATTAAACATTTTACTTACATACTTTTTTTCATTTCCAGCTGTGTTTTCTACTGTACAACAAATGTAGAATAAAGTAAAATAACACATTGAACGAATAAGAAACGGACCACTCAGGAAGAACAAAAACGTCTTATAGTGTCAACCAGTGGCGGGCCGTGCATTTCAACCTTAGGCCTTCAGTGACGTCACATACATACACAATATAGGCTCGTCAAGCAGCACTTAATTTCAGGAGCATTTAAAACCATCAAGTATG